GCACATTGGCTCAGCTGAAAGATCAGCACCCATCAGTCTCCTCCTATGACTGTCATAATATGGCAGCCATTCCACCAAGAAAGAACTACAGGGCCTCAGCTGAGAGACCAACAACTTTCATCTCTTCCTTTCCCCAAATACTGTTTCCAGTGGGTCATTACAAAACCCCACAACTAAGACTGAGTTGCCTGAGTTTATCAACTCCCAGCACCACCTCCTCCCTACAACTCCTTTCCCCTTTGTGTCCTGTCTTTAACACTGCAAGGCTGTCAACTGTCTTTTTTGTGGCGGATCAGCAAAGTAAAAAAAAAATGCTTCAGATAAAATAATAAGATCCCCTTGCAGTTTTTGGATAGCTCAGTCATTAGAGCACGAGACTTTTAATTTCAGGGCTGAGGGTTCAAGCCCCATGTCGAGCAAAAAGATCCCTGCATTCCAGGGGTTTAGGCTAGATGACCCTTGTGACCCCTTCCAACTATGGATTTCTAGGATTCTAGGACTGGGATGAAAAAAGAGAAATGAGCTTATTGAGCAATTGTATCCTTGTCCATACATAACACAGGAATGTGTGCAACCTCAAAATCTCCAAAGAACTTTCAGGAGCTGAAATTCGGGGCATGACCCAGATCAGATTGACTTGTACATTCATTTTATAATGGCTCAAGGCTGGATTGATAGGTGTGTCCAATGTTCATTTTATCTGAATCATTTTGAACCTTGTCCCTATATTGACTTGAAAGCTTTCTCTCCCTCACCCCCTTCAGAGGATATTCAGCATATCTAACCAGGCATTTGCACCAGTCACTTACTTCCGAGTAAATACACTTATGTCCCAGATATAAGTCTTCTTCATATGTCTTCTTCAGCAACTATTAACCCTTCCATTTTTACACAATACTATTCACTCCTTCATCCACTTAGTATTACTGTATTCTCTACTTTATGACTGATCCCAAAAAGAGAAAGAGGGACCTGAGGAAATGATTAATGAAAGCGAGATGGTTATCTAGTGGAAAAAAATGTGCCATTCAAATGCAAAAGATTAACCCTGCAGCACAGGTCAGGCAAACTCTCATCAACTAATAGTTCAACTATTAATGGTTGCAAAGTAAATTACAGCCCCTGACGCAACTGCGTTTACTGCCAAGCACCGTGCATGGCATCACTGCATGCTTATGTAATTGCTGGCTCCTTTCATTTAATTTCATTATGTTTATGTTATATGATTGTCTGCTTCCGTAGCATCTTTCAATCCAGAGTCCTTTCCTTTATTGGCGTATGTGCACCCCTGACCTATGGTTACCAGACGTCCCCGTTCCCCGGGGACAGTCCCCGGATTTACAAATCTGTCGCCGGACAAAATCCATCCCTGGAATGTCCCCGGATTTCATTTAATGTCCCCGGATTTATATTTTAAGTGTTATAGATTTATTAGTAGGGAATGAATGTTGCGTGATTGGTTCAGCGGCACAAGACACATCATATGGAGATTTCCGGAGAGGCAAAATGGCGGGCACCATGGCAGCGAGCAGCTCCTGAAGCCAGCCAGAGCCAACTGCACTACCAGGCTGGCTCCGGGCTGCTGAGATTGCTGCCGCCGCGGGGGAACTGGGAACGCCCGGTGTGTCAACTGGGGGAACCGCTGATCCCACCCATGACCCAAATCGAGGCGGGAGCAAGAGCGCCCGGCCACCTAGTTGACTGCCCAGCAGCACTCGCAAGGAGAAGGAGGGGAAGGAAGAGAGAGAAAGAGGAAGGAGAAAAAAGAGGGGAGCCCCAACCTTGCCACACTGTTGCCTCTGCCACTGCTGAGGAAAAGAAGTAGGAGAGCAACGGGTGAGCAAGGACAAGTGGCCGAGCCCAGGCCCAACCCAAGCCTACTCCATGGCAGATAGCACTCTAAGAGATCAGGCCAGGGCCCAGAGGAAGGCTGCCTGACAGAGGAGACCCAGAAGAGAAGATATTCTTTTTTTTATTAAAAAAAATGATTTTTTAAAAAATAACTTTTTCTCTCTCTTTTTTTTTTTTTAAGTGTCTCTGGATTCTTTGAAAAAATCTGGTAAAATTGCCCTAACCCTTCTGCTGCAGTTCTTAATGCTTTATCTTTATGCTGCGTTTTAGCTTGATGACACATTATTGAGTTAGGCAATAAGCTGTTGTTGTTTTGATGTGCATTGTGTACATGGGTCGTTACCGGAAAACATAAATGTTGCTGCAAGGCTGATCAAAAAAGGGCGTTGGCACATGAAACCCTTTTGTAGTGTAGCAATATTAGAGATACTGTAATCAAAAAACAAGTAAACCGACCAGAATGTGGTCTAAACCCCCCTTTAAATCCATATCAACGAAAAGAAAAGAACTCACACTGAAACTCACCTACAGGTGGTACCTAACACCAAGCAACTAGCGCTAATACACCCAGGAACCTCACCAAAATGCTGGAGAGGGTGCACCTCCACAGGCACATACCTCCACATGTGGTGGGAGTGTCCCAAAATCCAACTATTCTGGACAACAGCCATACAAGAAATATGTACAATAACTAAGCAAGTAATAGACATCACCCCAGAATTGGCCCTACTAAACATCTTCCAAGACAACAATGCCCATTTACACCACAAAGAACTTATAACCCACCTGCTTTCAGCAGCCAGAAATACCATAACCAGACACTGGAGAGACCTGTCAGGAGTAAGCATGGACCAATGGTACCAAATAGTATGGGAAACAGCCCTACTAGAAAAATTAACTAATAAACAGAAACTGACACGGGGACAAACAGAAGAAGACACCTTCACCCAGGTATGGCTCCCATTTATCACACACACAGCCCAACAGGACAATGACAATAATCCACCAACAGCATACAAATCAATATGGCTAACCTGATCCAAAACACCCACCCACCTCACTCACACACGAAAACAAAGATCACCACAGCCAATCACAAGCAAACAATCACACCCTAGGCCAACCCCAACCTCTCTCACCACCAAAGGAACACAAGTGAACAACACAAACAACGCTGACACCAAACTCTACACACATTAAACATAATAGAAACACCGCCACCCGACCCCACCCCCATCCATCTTCCCTCTCTCCACCCCCCTTTTCTTCTCTCTTTCTTTTTTCTTTTCCCCCTAATGCCTCAACAAATGAAATGGATTTGTAAAAATGTTACATGAAAAAAAATAATACGAGGCACTACACTTCTGTAAAACAAAAAACAAACAAACAAGTAAACCCCTTTAAGATACAGTGTTGTAGTGGTTCAGGGCCATTGGGGGACAGGCGACCCTTACTAATTTCCTCAGCAGGGCCCCTGCCTCCAGCATCTTAAAGCCACCCAATCAGCATGGAAGGGGAGCCTTTGAACCACTCCAAAGCTAAGTGTTTAGGTGCTTTAAGTTTCAAGCAAATGGTGTGCATGTTCCGTAACGGACAATGGCATGCCCTCTAAGCGGCCCTGTTTTCCAGGAAGAGTCCCAGAATTACGAAAGCCCTCCTGGCAGAGGACAGGCCTACCCTGGGCAGGAAAAAGGAGTGGAGTGAGGTGCAAGGGGTCTTGGTTTTTAAAAAAATGCCTCTGTAATAAACAAAAATCTGCCCTTATTCCTTTATGGGGGACACAAAAGCCCTCATAGAGTCCTCTGTAGGTTCTCCATCAGTAGGAGAACATAACAGAGGCCTACCAGAGAATATTGAGAAGCAAAGCAACTAGTAAGCCTGATCTTTATTGAACTGTTGCAACAGGGTGCTCCCCTCACACGCAGGAAAGGAGGAGGACCCAGAACCAAGGTGTGCCTGCCCTTATATAGACATTTCAAATTCCCTGCCCCGGAGCTCAACCCCCCCCTCCATACATCATACATACATCACAGAAGGGGTGTAACCCAAGACCACCCCCCACAAACATCATAGCTACATCACAGAAAAGTTGTTTTTCCTGTCTGCCAGTTATCTGATGCCTTATCTGATTGCCTTTCCTGGTAGTCTGGCCATTCCTTTGAGATGGTGATTACCCAATTCCTGAGACAATGGGATGGTTCCCTCACCCCCTCCCTCCTTGCAGAGAAAACATTCGGTCAGTTTGGGAGTCAAAATGGTTTCAGAGCGGTTTTCCTGTGCTGCTCCAGATATGTGGTCCACATATTTATGTATGTGCTTGGTACATTTATGAACATTTATTATATATATAAAAAGGTAAAGGTACCCCTGCCCGTACGGACCAGTCTTGACAGACTCTGGGGTTGTGCGCCCATCTCACTCAAGAGGCCAGGGGCCAGCGCTGTCCGGAGACACTTCCGGGTCACGTGGCAAGCGTGACGAAGCTACTCTGGCGAGCCAGAGCCACACACGGAAACGCCGTTTACCTTCCCGCTAGAAAGCGGTCCCTATTTATCTACTTGCACCCGGGGGTGCTTTCGAACTGCTAGGTTGGCAGGCGCTGGGACCGAGCAACGGGAGCGCACCCCGCTGCGGGGATTCGAACCGCCGACCTTTCGATCGGCAAGCCCTAGGCGCTGAGGCTTTTACCCACAGCGCCACCCGCGTCCCTATTATATATATATATATATATAAGACCGTAAAAAAAAATTATTACACCATGTGCATCCACATCTAATGTTGCCCCTTTCTAAAATGTATTTATTGGTGTGTGTTTTTCTTTTTGTAAATATTACCTGTGTTAGCAGCACTGAAGTGATCTCTCCAGGACGTAAGCCTGGACAGTGTGTATGAAGGTCCTGGGGTGCCCAGATGGCACGACTCCCCTCTTGGTCTCACTGACATGGTCCAATGGAAAGCAGAGCAATACGTTTGGCACCAGCTTGGCTGCAGGAGTTGCTATATTGCAATTTCATCATTTTCAACGTGCTCTTTGGCCCTAGCACTGTTTTGTATTTTTCAACATTACTTTATTGGGGTCTTTAAAAACTCTACACTGTAAACCACCTAGCAATTTTTTTACAATTCAAAAGCTAAAATAAATATATGTGTGAGGTTTAACAAGTTTTAATCATCAGCTTAATACTTTAATAATACGTGAAGCTTTTTATATTTAGTACATTTGCTGCTCCTGGTTTTATTTTTACAGCTTATTTTCCTGCTTTACAGATGTATATTCTAGGAATTGTTGTTAATGCCACAACTAGTTTGCTTATGATGAGTATGAGCTGCCCTGGAAATCTTGCCCACTTTTCTTCCAGTGTTCTCTTGTATCTAGAAATCGCCATGGATCAGATGACTGACACAACTCTCCTGTGAAGAAAGGTTACAACAGTTGGAGTTTTTAGTTTAGGAAAAAATTATTGAGGCTGCATGATAGAGATTTGTAAAAGTGCATGCATGCTGTGGGGAAAACAGAAGTTTTTTCTGTTAGAACCTGGAGTCATCTAATGGAGTTGAATGGTGGGAGAATTAGCACAGACAAAAGCAAAACAACTTACAATTTATTCATTTAACCAAAGTTATATACTGCTTGACTGTAATAAAACCTCTAAGCAGTTTACAAAAATGAAACACTGAAATTATTAATAAAAGACAGATAAAAACAGGTATTTAAAAACATTAAGATTATTAGAATCAACAACAAGCTAAAAACAGATTTAAACACATGCAACGTCTGCTTGTCTGGATAGTCTTGCCTAAGCAAAAATGTTCTATGCAAATACCGACAAGAGTGTGGGGGTGGTGTCTGTCTGATGTCAATTGGCAAGAAGTTCCAAAGCGCAGGTGCTGCCACAAAAGAAAATCAATTTCTTGCAAGTGCAAAACAAGTATCACGCACCTGTAAGAGTGCCGGTTCTGCAGAATAAGGGGGTAAAGGCGTAAGGTGATGCCACGATCTAAAATCCAACCTAAGTAAAGCAAGAAGAGGAAGGGGAAGTGAAGGCAGGGGTAAACAGGGAAACATCGTGTGGTTGTTTCAGTTAAAACACGCTTGGGCTTGACTACAAGGTTCGGCTTTGGAGCATTGATAGTGAATGGGAAAACAATCAGATGTTTCACACAAACTGTGTCTGAAATAAAAAAAAAGCAAGCTGCCATAAAAAAGGAAATGTTTGAACACCAGTGATCTTTACGATGGAAATAACAGAAACGTGGCGCTGTGGGTTAAACCACAGAGCCTAGGACTTGCTGATCAGAAGGTTGGCAGTTTGAATCCCCGCAACTGGGTGAGCTCCCGTTGCTCAGTCCCTGCTCCTGCCAACCTAGCAGTTCGAAAGCACGTCAAAGTGCAAGTAGATAAATAGGTACCGCTCCGGCGGGAAGGTAAACGGCGTTTCCGTGCACTGCTCTGGTTCGCCAGAAGCGGCTTAGTCATGCTGGCCACATGACCCGGAAGCTGTACGCCGGCTCCCTCAGCCAATAAAGCGAGATGAGCGCCGCAACCCCAGAGTCGGTCACAACTGGACCTCATGGTCAGGGGTCCCTTTACCTTTACCTTACTATGAATTTTAAGTTCTTGTAGGCAGTTGTGACATTTGAGAACTTGCAGGCACTCTCCTCTGATCTGCACACTTTTTATTTAGAGCTCTTTCTCCTTCAGTCATTCATGTGTAAACAGCTGTGCATGTGGCACACTGTTTGGCGCTTGCCCAGGGATCATTCATGGCTAATTTTGTCCTGCCTTTTATGAGTAGGCGTTTCCAAGATGCTCAGTCATAGCACTCTACAGTACATGGCACACAAAGAAATTGTTGTAATTCAGGCCTGCAAAACATTAATGGCCTATCTCGTGCTGGATAATAATAATAATAATAATAATAATAATAATTTATTATTTGTACCCCACCCATCTGGCTGGGTTTCCCCAGCCACTCTGGGCGGCTTCCATAGAAACCAAAAAACACTAAAATATCATACATTAAAAACTTCCCTGAACAGGGGTGCCTTAAGATGTCTTCTGAATGTCAGGTAGTTGTTTATCATTTTGACATCTGATGGGAGGGCGTTCCACAGGGCGGGCGCCACTACTGAAAAGGCCCTCTGCCTGGTTCCCTGTAGCTTTGCTTCTCGCAATGAGGGAACTGCCAGAAGGCCCTTGGCGCTGGACCTCAGCGTCCGGGCAGAACGATGGGGGTGGAGACGCTCCTCCAGGTATACTGGGCTGAGGCCGTTTAGGGCTTTAAAGGTCAACACCAGCACTTTGAATTGTGCTCGGAAACGTACTGGGAGCCAATGTAGGTCTTTCAAGACCGGTGCTATGTGGTCTTGGCCGCCGCCCCCAGTCACCAGTCACCAGTCTAGCTGCCGCATTCTGGATTAGCTGTAGTTTCCGAGTCACCTTCAAAGGTAGCCCCACGTAGAGCGCATTGCAGTAGTCCAAGCGGGAGATAACTAGAGCACGCACCACTCTGGCGAGACAGTCCGCGGGCAGGTAGGGTCTCAGCCTGCGTACCAGGTGGAGTTGGTAGACAGCTGCCCTGGATACAGAATTGACCTGTGCCTCCATGGACAGCTGTGAGTCCAAAATGACTCCCAGGCTGCGCACCTGGTCCTTCAGGGGCACAGTTACCCCATTCAGGACCAGGGAGTCCTCCACACCAGCCCGCCCCCTGTCCCCCAAAAACAGTACTTCTGTCTTGTCAGGATTCAAGGATGTGTACAGCAGGGGCTTCCTATATAGGTAGCTCTTGTCATTGCTACCAGCTTGGGACAGTGCAAAGAAGGGCCTGGCAGAATGCAAGACATGCCAAATGGAAGTGCTTGGCTCACGTGTGACTGGTCAGTTAAGAGTTCCTTGTATGGCTATCAAATCACTCCGGAGATTTTAGCTAACAAACGTTTTAAGTAAGAATTTATGAAGAGCACTGGTGGATCAGGCCAGCGTGTGGGATCAAAAGAAGCCTACATACAAGATTCTGAGACGACTGCCATATTTTGCAGAGAAGAGCGGAACATAATAAAGGCCCATACAGCTATCATGTGAGAATTGCCTTTGCAATTCTATATAGTGGTACCTCTGGTTAAGAGCTTAATTCGTTCCAGAGGTCTGTTCTTAACCTGAAACTGTTCTTAACCTGAGGTACCACTTTAGCTATTAGGGCCTCCCACTGCCGCCGCTGCACGATTTCTGTTCTCACCCTGAAGCAAAGTTCTTAACCTGAGGTACTATTTCTGGGTTAGCGGAGTTTGTAACCTGAAGTGTCTGTAACCCAAGGTACCACTGTACTCATTTACACCTGGGAATAAACCCCACTGAAATGAGTGGGACTTAAGTATTGAGTTGGCATATTGTAGGACTGCACTGTAAGAAATCCATTTGAAAACTGACCTTTCTGTGAACATGCTTGTTTCCTTGAGTGGTCTGTGCACGAGTTGTTACGGGGGCAAGGTGTGGTGCTGTTGATGGGCTTTCTTTGCACTGTACTGAGTCATTGAGAAAGACAGCCCTCGTTTTTTCCTCCAGGGGCCTTGGGAACAACTCTGTGAGCTAAGCACATGAACTGGCCCCTAATCATGATATTATCATTGTGAATTTGTTGCTTACAACAACAGCAAAATCAAAGTGACTTGCTTTTTTTTAAAGCATTCAATACCAAATTTAAAGATTTAAAAAAACATCAACTATTATAAAAGAACATAAAAATTACTGTCATCCAGAGCCTGTGTAGATTTGAACCTAGGTCTCCACTGTTTCTAGTTCAGCACTCCACCTACTATGCTTGGTTAGAATGAGAACCATTTAAAGGCATATGCACTTTAATTCAATGCCAAAAGGTCAACAGCGCCATGCTTAACAACCTCCTGTTTGCTTTGGGGAGCAACTGGAGAGAGCACGCAAAGATCCACGTGCGCACACTACATTTCTTTGACCATTTGCTATTGTCAGACAGTATGGTTGGCAACTATTTTGCTAGCAGCTAGATGGTTGCTTTAGGGACGCTGGTGGCGCTGTGGGTAAAACCTCAGTGCCTAGGACTTGCCGATCGTATGGCTGGCGGTTCGAATCAGCGTGGCGGGGTGAGCACCTGTCTTTTGGTCCCAGCTCCTGCCCACCTAGCAGTTCGAAAGCACCCCTAAGTGCAAGTAGATAAATAGGTACCGCTTTATAGCGGGAAGGTAAACGGCGTTTCCATGTGCTGCGCTGGTGCTGGCTCGCCAGAGCAGCTTCGTGACCCGGAAGTGTCTTCGGACAGCGCTGGCTCCCGGCCTCTTAACTGAGATGAGCACACAACCCTAGAGTCGGACACAACTGGCCCATACGGGCAGGGGTACCTTTACCTTTAGATGGTTGCTTTAAGGAGAAGACAGAGGGCAAAAGTTCCTTTCTTTTCTCCTCCTGAGAAGTGTAGGTATAGATTACTGATTGGTAGCAGTTCCAGATGATTCCAGATTGCTGAAGTTCCAAGTGGTAGAAAACCTATGTGACTTGTGCATTGAGACTACTGTATTGTAATACACTCCTACATGGAGCCTCACTTGAGACTGGTTCAGAAGCAGCAGCAGGTGGAGAAAACTGTGGTCATGTTGTTTTATACTTTCCTCCAAGCTTTTGCCCTCTGCCCAAGAAACTTCCACAGCCAGTTTTTGGGTCTGGTGTCAGAACCCCAAGTACAGTGTTGGTTCTAGCTCTCCTGAAATATACCTTATCCCTGCTTGTCAGTTTCTGCAGGGTGTGCAACAGTTCACAGCTAAATAAGTTACCACTTTCCAGCTGCCCCCATCCTGAGGAAACATTTATTCCCTTGTCCAAAAAGCAAGTTCTTTATACAGGCTGAAGCCAAGGTCTTTGGGAAGCAACAGATGACCTTGAGTGCCCTTTGAAGTGGTGGAGTTTGAAGAAGTAAAAACAAAAAGCACACAAACCCCAAAGCATTTTGGCTCATTTTGGAATAGGCAGCACAAAGTGTCATCACATGAGATTTAATAGCTGCGTTTGCTCTCTTAAGTTTGAAGAATACAGAGGGGGTTTTGTTCTGTTTGTTAGCTAGCTTAATCTCTTTTAATGCACTAAGAAATACCTGGCACGTCTCTACAAAGAGAACACAGATTATAGTATAGATAAATACCGTATATCCCACCACACTGCTGAAAATATCTTCCCAGGGTTCTGGCCTTTTAAAGTTGGTTGGGGATGGGCAATGACAATTTTGGTACTGCTGCTGCTGTACTTTCTCAGTGTGTTTGAAGCTGTCAACCTGAGGTTTAAATCCTACACACACACACACATTTGGGAATACCGGTAAGTCCAATGGAAATAAGCAGAACTTCAAAGTACACATGCAAAGGATTTGGCTGAACATCTTGGAGTT